CTTAAGTACACTTTTTAGGTATCTATACTTTACTCCTTTACTTAATTTTCCTCCTACTTCTGACTTCTACTCATTACATTTTCACACAAGCATCTGTACTTTCTATTCCTTACAGTTTTAAAACAAACGTTACTCGTTACTCTTGGCTGCGGTTTAATGTAGAGGTCACGGATTAGCGGGCCGCGGTCTGGATCTGTACTCAACCTGATTTAAAACATTTATAAATTACCGCATGTTGTCTGACGACAGTTTCTAAACGCCACTCGGGCCACTTCTCCTGTTACCCTGAAATCCTACATCCTCCGTCTCCGCTCCGCTGTGCTCCAGACCTCTTAGTCCTAACTGCCAACAATATATAGGTTAAATCTTGGAGGCAGGAAGGAAGCCAGGTATCCCCTCTCCTCCAGCGCTCACCTTGCTTTGCAGCTGCTCCCTGATGTGTGCTGGAATCTTCATCCGACTGTTGGGACACTGCAGTCTGCCAAGATTCTCCTCCAGCTTTGGAAGAAGCTTCTCTCTTCGCTGAGAAAGATGCTGAATCTGCTTGTCAGCATCGACTCCACTCTGAAATAAATCCAATGATACACGGTTAGATATATGCTCAACCATTCCTCAGCCTTATTTGAGAAAACTCTCAAAACTAGAGTTTATAAATTGAAACATAAATAAAAACAAATATTGTCACTCTGACATCCACATGTTGTTTACACTGCAATGCATTCTGGGTAAATGACGTATGCTAAGTCCTGTAGCACATGTCATGCCTCCGTTCAGCTAAAACAGCAGAGGTGTCAAGTAATAAAGTGCAAATACTTTGTTCCCCAGATTAAGTAGAAATGTTGACTATCTATAGTTTACTGGAGTCACTTTTTACTTCTACTGCTTCCATTTTAAATATAGACTTAGTAGTTTTGTTTCATTTAAGTTAATTTTCATTATGGCCTGTTGATATTTAAAAAGGTTTCATCAAGACAACTAATTTCTTTGTGGTTGGACTCGGTGCTGCCCAAACTTGTTGTTCACCACATACCAGTGGCAGGCTAGCTCAAGGTCACCTGACCTGCAAACAGGAAGCCTGGGTTTGTATCCCAGCTCGGGGGGGTGTGAGCTGCCAGTGTGGGTCCTTATTAAAGACCCTTCATGCTAAGGGGAGGGGCAGCCTAGTGGTTAGAGGACTGCGCTCAGGAATCCTGAGGTTCTGAGTTTGAGCCCCACTCCCACAGACATCCACTCTGGCTCTCTGAGCACAATCATTAACCTGGGGCTCCACAGGCGCCCCACGATGGCAGCCCACTGCTCCCCAAGGACATTAATACATTAAGGGCCGGATTTATCAAGATCCAATTTTGCGTGCAGTGATTTGCGCTCGCAAACTGGAATTTTGCGCGAGGGGCTGAACCATGGTTTGCGGGTGATTTAAAGAGCGATTGCGTAACTGGTGGCAGGTGCAAAACTGTTGGAGACGCCCTATTTAAATGATGGTTTTACGCGTTTTGTGGTTTGCGGCATGGTGAGTTTGGACAGCAGAAGGCGCAAAAGGAAATTCGACCCCATGGAAATGGAGGT